CCCCCCTCCCATCCCTCTGAACTTTAACCCGAACGATACTCGAAGAGAACTTTCACCGTGCATGAAAGGCACAATCATTTATTTGACGGGTGACATTTCTTTTTTACTTTTTTCTTCCTTTTTTTCTTCTCGTTACTATTATCTATCCTAGTCTCTTTGAATGTTCTCCTGAAACGAGACGAGAACCAATAGAAAATCTCAATACAGGCCGCCACCTTTCAATAAATCCTATTGCGACATCACTCATTCCGTCCCCCATCGTAAAATATCGTCGCGTTAAGTGCTCCCACATTGCAATCGAATTTACACCTGGCTAAGAATTATTAGCGATCCTCGCTCGTAAATACTTCCTAGAGAAAGATTAACTTTTGCTAATTTCGAATTCAAACGTTTACCATTCACCTTCCTTCTCTTTCTCTTCTCTCCTTTTCTCAAAGGAGAACACGCGCAAGCACACACAGACACACACGTACATACATACACTTTCGGGGAAGAAAAATTTGCGAGAAAAAGCGATTTAAGATTCTTCGTTAACTGGAAAGAAAAATGGGCTGTTGGCTAGCCGTGAAAAGCTATGTAGGTTATAAACTTTAGATCGTAGATCAAGATACGTGAGATTGGGCATGAAAATCAAATTCCAGAAACCGAGGAACCGCGTTAAAATCGTAAAACTTTTTCACGACAAGCTACGAAAAACTGGAGGAAGCTTTGGTTTTTCGTTTTCCTGTATAGAACCCATGTATAAAGCGAAAGGGAGAGAGAGAGAGAGAAAAAAAGAAAATAAAAGAAAAGAAAGAAGGAAAGAAAGTAAGTAAGTAAGTAAGGAAGAAAGAAGGTAAAAGAAGGAATCCCGATTCTACCGACCTCGTCGTCGTCGTTATTCACTCGTTCGTAATTACGCTCGTAAAATTTTTCAAAGGCTGTAGACAATGTGCACCCGATGGCTCGGAAAGTGCTACCTCGGGGCTGACTTACTTCGAATGTAAGCATCGACCTATCTACGGGACATAAACGTTCGTAAAGAACAACTACAGTGACTAGCAAAGATGATCGGGGGGGGGGGGGGGGGTAACGTTCTCGTTTGAAAATTGTCAAAGATAGATATCTATCTTACGATTAAAAAAAAAAAAAAAAAAAAGGAGAAAAGCACTTCGTACAAATTGAATTTACATTTAATCAGAATAAATTTTTACGTTGATTTCTTCGAAAACATTTTGAAAATCTTTGAAGCGTCGCGTTTTTATCCTCGTTTTTCATTAATTTTTAAGTAATAGAAGAACATATTTCATCTTTTGCGAGCCTCTGTATATTTCCCTGCTATCTTAGTTCAACTATAGGAATAGATAAAAGCTAGCTAGCTTAGAAACGTGAAACGATGTTATACTATCTCTCGGTCTCCTTAGTGAAACTGTGCGCGAAGAAAAGCTATTGAGAAAGTGTGCGTTATATACTACAGTCGCGTATATACGTTCACTTATAACATTGCACGTATGCAACGCGTACATTTCGCGTCACGAATCGCATCTATATGTTAATGCGGAACGCAACTGCGCGCGTAATTCTCTCGGTGCACGCACCCACGCAATACCCAGGAAAAGATCTCGTAAGGAAGACTGAGAAAGAGAGATGAAGAGATAGAAATAGAAAAGCATACGACTCCAAAGAGAGAGAAAAGAAAGAAAAACGATATCGTGAAAAGTCGTGCAACCTGTATGCCAGTTCTATATCCGCGAGACATCCTTACGTGGGTGCTCGATGAAAATTATAAGATCGATTATCCTAATAAATTATACAGTCTGGAATTATCTCAACGGGATGAAACTTTCATGAATTCTCTGCGAGACATTTCGTTCTTTTATTTCTTTCCCACATTTTTCTCCTCTCTTTCTATTCTATATCTGCTGTCTACTCAGTGAATCGAAAATTTTTTGTCTTTCAATGACGTGCAAAAAAAAAAAAAAAAAAAGGAAAGATTTTTCAAACATCGTGATTATCAATCGAGAAAGGATAGTATTATACTACATTGCTCTGTTAAACGCAAGTTATTTGCAAATACAACAAAATTTGTCCTTGATACATAAATGCATAGATGCATACCTGCATATACAAGTATATATATAGTTGTACATTCGTGTAACAAAGAACGACGAGTTGAGGTCGAAAGATCTCGCCCAAGCGAAACGTGGGAAACCATTTTCGAGTAACAACGTAAACTATGTAGTCGTTACGCGTTTATAATAGTAGACCCCCATAAGAGAAAGAGAGAAAAGTTACCACCACCACGTACGTACGTATACACAAAGAGGCGGCATTCTGTTTTAAACGGCCGCGTTACTATCCCAAGTTCGATGTAATCGCTCGTATTCTCCGCTTTCAGATCTTGAAAGCACACGACCGAGCTAGCAGCACACGCTTTCGCATACACTTGTAAGGATCGCGTGTACCCTTGCTAAATACATCCGTCGTAACTCCATCCTGAATTGCTAGATCTACTCACGGAAAAAGGAGTATAACATAATTTACTTTACGACTCTTTGAGCGTTCGTTTCACGACTTGCCAATAAAGGAGAGAGACTTTGCCAAGCCAAAGAGAAGAGAGAGAGAGAGAGAGGATATGGGGTGGGGGTGATGGGGAGGGGGTAGACGTTTCTCTTATTCATCGGTTAAGATCTACTTCATGTACGAATATTTCTTTTATCTTCATCCGACACAATAAAAATGTTATTTAGTTATTTTCTTATTTACTTTCTTTCTTTTCTTTTTTTTTTTGCATGATAAATTAGTTTCATAGTCATGCGTCTGACTTTCATAAACACAAAAAAACATCTATCTATCTATTCGTCTATTTGTTTCTCTTAGGAATGAATGGGAAGCACTCGAGGAATGATATTCACGAAAAGGGGGATTGGGTGTAGACGATCGAGAAAAGCTCGATCTAATCGAAAATAAAAAGAAAAGAAACAAAAAAAAAAAGAAATCTTGTTTCACGATCGGCAAAGTGCCTTGTCATCGTCGAGAGTGCAATTCCACTTTGGTGTGTCGACGTTCATAATCGTCAGGTTCGGTTGCATTGCGTTGCGTTACGTTGCAATGCGGTGCATTCGGGTACCTCTTTCTCTCTCTCTCTCTCTCTCTCTCTTTCTCTCTCTACTCCCGTGAGAAGCAAGCATTCAGGAACTTCCTCGAGAGGTTTTCCTTTGCCCATTCGTCGTAGGGCCAAATAATATGCGAAGAATGTATATACACAAGCGAGTGTGTACACGTACACGTGAAATACCCATACTTATGTAAAAGAATACACGCGTGTTACGACGACTACGACTACGTGACGCGTGGAATTAAACGTCGGACTATTAAAGCGAGTCCGCATGAATGTATATCCAAGGCAAAATAATAATAATAACTAAAAGAGAAAGAAAGAAAGAGAGAGAGAGAGAGAGAGAGAGAGAGAATGATCCCTCTGGACCTACCTCTCTCTCTTTCACTCTTTCTTTCTTTCTTTCTCATACTACCCCCAAAAATAAGACGAAAAGGAAGGGGCTGAAACGAGATAGGGGAAGGAAAGAGAAAGCGTCAACTTAAAAAAAGGGGGAAGGGGGGAAAGGGTAAGGAAGAAAAAAGGGAGCCCCTTCGAGAACGTGCGTTTAACGCGCATCGGTCTAAGTGCTTCCTACTGCTTTAACGTTTTCTCCTTGCGCATCGTGCCCATGCATCGTGCATCATACTCGTGCATAGTGTTTTCCCATAGAACACAAGTACAGTACGCACAATCGACGATATTTTCGATTCACAAGAGGATAGACAAAAATATCTTTGACTGATTCGTCGATCTAATGCAATGATCTTTCGAAACTTTTTCAATTCACGTAACCGTTATGAGTGTAAACAATAAAAAATATTTTACGTAATTATTCTCTCTCGTAATACGACAAATGATATTAATTCTACGTAATGTATTATATCTAAAGAATTTTGAAATATAAAAAATAATATTTGTTATATTTGTATAATTATAAATTTACATATAAAAAACTTACATATAAATTACATATAAAAAATTACAAATAATATTTGTATAATTTGTAATATTTGTTGTGCGTTTTGTTGTTAACGCGCATTACATTATGAGAAATATTTTGTAAAGAACGATCGAACGAATTCGGAATCTCGTAAGTATCGAAATATTACAACATCCGGCAAGGTCGTAAAATTTATCGACGATTGTAAACTAGCACGCACGTGTTGAGATCGTCCAGCAAATACTAAGGAAGGGGGTCTTACATCGAAGACAATGTAAAGCGTATGTCGTTGCTATCGATAAAGAGTCCGTTTGAAATGACTTCACTTACAAAAGAGTCCATTGAAACGCTAAGAGACGTAAGTGTGTTGGAAATATACCGCGAGCAAAAAGCATTACCTATATATATATATATATATATATATATATATATATATACGCGAATGAATATTATCGAGATAGAAATTGTTAATAAATTCCGATCAACGTAAAAGCGTACGCGTTCCGTTGATAATTCAACGCGTGGCACAAATCATGTATGAAGCGGGGCGGGGGGGGGGGRGCAAAAAACAAAATGATAAAAAAGAAATATAATAAGAAAAAAAAAAATACCTTACATTACACCAGTTTGTCCTTTCACCCGAGAACAACGTTGAAAGATTATGTTCGAACATAAAGAATCATATCGCGAATAATTTAAACCAACGAATTCGACATCCACCGATTTTATTATACGTTTCCATTGCAATAACTTCCTTTGATATATGCGTTCGATTAATCAAATTGAATCATCGATTAAGTCGTACCTTTGAAACTCTTACCTCTCAAGAAAACCCATACGTTTTGTTTTATTAACCGGTCGATCTTTTAAAACAAACCGACAGACTGTTATCCCGACCGAAATAAATATCGTTTCAACACATTTAACAAACCCATCGATCTTCACTAAAATTTATTGAAATTTCAGAAATCCCAAATATATATAATATAATATTATTCAATAGGGTAAATATATATACGTAATCCGACACGTATATAAACGCGTACGTACATATACGTAAAATATACATACAAACATTATATTACATACATGTATAGATTTCTACGTGCTAGCGCATACGGGCTCGCATTTATCGATTATGTTCGGTCGACGTTTAGAGCACTCCAATCGATCGTACTTTAGACTCTAAACTCGTGAACACTAACATTTGCCGATCAACGTCCTAGAGAGCCAATGAGCAAGAGAACCAATAAGAGAGAGAGACAAAGAGAGAGAGAGAGAGAAACAAGGAACGTGGGATCGAGAACGTGGTGTCGGGTCTCGTTAGCCAATAAGCCTCCGTGATATCTGAATGGCGATTTAGTTGGACGGACGTTGGGCTAACACGCTTCGACGTATCGCTTTGAAGGAGAGGCTTATGCCAAGAGAGAAAGAGAGAGAGAGAGAGAGAGAGAGAGAGAAACCGAAGTATACTTCGTTTGCTGTACAAACGCGCGTGCTACTCGCGGTAAAGCGTATTTAGCGTGCACGTATACGCTCGAATACACACACGCCCATCCCCATTGACACAAGAGGAAGGGTCCTTCCGTTTCGAGAAACATATTTCCTTTTTTTCACTCAACGCCGATCGATTCCTCCTTATCGTCTCAACTCCCACCACCACCACCACCACCACCACCCTAAACTTTTCTTCCCCATTTTCCCCTTTCCTTTTCTAATTATAATTATTTGTCTTCTTTTTTAGACTGAAAATACGAAGGTAAAATGGATACATGAAAAGTTTGACTAGTCGTCAATTGGAATATTGCTAATTGCATTATTTATGTATTATCTTTATTATATTGAATCTCTTTTATTTCTTTAAATGTTCCATCGAGAAATCTTTTCAATCATGTTTTATTATACATTGAACATTACGTGGTGTATGGTTATCATAGCTGCTTAAATAGAATCATGATCGTTAATGTTAATTTTTATTAAACAAATATTGATATATTTCAATCGATACATAATATCATCTGTAAAACACTGTTTTGTGAGCGTACGTTATGATTATTTTTTATTTTAATTTTTTCTTTTCTATCCCCAATACCGTTTATCCAACTTCAGCATCGAAGGAGAAGGGTCCGTCCTTTCCGTAAAAAAAAAATATATATATAAATTATTTATTATTTATTTGTGATATATTGATCGTATCAAAAATGTTGAAAAATATTGACCGAATAAATAGCAATCAATTTATACACACACACACACACACACACACATCCCACAGACATAAGTTTCTACGAGTATAATCAAGATTTGGATAATTATCATAGGTTCGTCCCTTTGCGTGTCACCAGAGACAAATTCGATCGTAGTTTCGTACGAGTCTCCCGTTGCTACTGAATAAGAAATTAGGAAAAAAGTTTTCCAGGAAATGACCTTTCGCTTCGGCGGAACCATGTGTGCACGGGTGAAACGCGAGGATCGATCTGTTTTTCACGGGCTATTAAAGCCGAACGTTCCTACATACATATGTATATACACGTTCGTATTACATACATTCGAACTCACGATTGTTTACAAGTCTCACAGGTCCTACAACGATAAGTTTTCTATTTCCATCGGTAAGACAACATTAGCGGGTTTTATCGAACGGAACCATATGTCGTTTACTATACGTGTATATTCTACCGTTACATATAATTTTAAACAATGCAATTATTCCCTATTAAAATTAACGAATAATTAATTTCTTCCGTGAGACAAGTATTTTCAAGTGAAAACAAAACGATTTTATTTTTGTATTATTTTAATTATTTTGCTTCATTCATTTTATATCGAAAACGATTCGGCTCGTAAAACAATCAAGATTTTTAACTTTGTTTTTCACGTAGAAAAGTGTTCATATAAAAAATAATTAAACATACGCGCGTATACGTGTTGTATTTCAAACAATATATAAAGATCGCGAAAAATAATAATTTTCTATTATAAATAAATGCAACACTGTAATAAACAATTAGGATGAATACGCAAATGAGTCGGTAAAAAATTGATGATTCTGAATAAATCGATGAAAATGTCAGCTGATTAGTAATCTCGAGCGGATCGAGTTGATCTAGAAAGAAAGATGAGGAAGAAGAGGAGGAGTATGAGGATGAGGATGAGGATGAGGATGAGGAGGATGGATGACACGCTTTAACGACCTTCGAGCGAGTCTGCGTCACAGCACGGTGAGATTCTCAATCACGCGACGCTTAATTAGCGCACTTAAACGTCCTACTCGGTCGCGATTTTCTCTCTCTCTCTCTCTCTCTCTCTCTCTCTCTCTCTCTCTCTCTCTCTCTCTTTCTACCTAAGCGAGGACGATCTACAAGCACCAACTTTATTCTCTTTCGCGTCTACTTCCGCGACGATCGCGTGACACCGATAGTTTTACGTACCTCTCTCACTCCACCCTCCCACCCCACTTTCCCCCACCTTTCTTTTTTTCTATTTCGAACGGCAGGAACGATTATCTTATGGTCACGAGTCGATTAACTTTGGTTTACATTCTTGTCTCGCGTCTTCATCGTTTATTATTTAAAATACATTACCTGTCTTGTTTTTCTATATCTTTTCTTTTTTTTCTTTTCATTTTCAATTATCAATTCAGCATTCGATTAAATTCGTCGCAATTTATTATCGAATTTCTCTAAATATATTTTCAATCTTTCTATTTTTTTGTTTTTTGTTTCTTAAGTGATCCATTAACTCGATCCAATTTTCAACGTCCCAAAGATCGGCCGATCTCGAAAGTTTACAAGTTACTCCGAAAGTTATCGCGCCACCCGTTGGATACCAAGTCCTCGCTACAATAATAATTATCGTCATTATTACAGCAGTGGGTTACCGGTTGGGGCCTAAACCAAAGTTAATTACCAGCCGCCGAGGCTAATTTAAATCAAGACTAATTGACCTCGCTCCCTCCCCAACTCCGATCCTCCTTCTCCCCCACCTCCTCCACCTCCTCCACCTCTTTCTACCTCAACTTCCCCAACCCTCGTTTCTCTACTCTCTCGCTACCATTACGGGCACGTTCATACCTTGCTTGCCCTCTCGCATTACGAAAGTTTCATCGAAGTTATCTTCTATATGGCGCATAACTTCGTAAGCTCTTAAAGTCATAATAAACGTTTGACGATCTTGATCAAACCGTCGTTCTGGCATAAACAATTTTCTTCCTAGAAAAAAATATCCCATCGAATTTATTGACCACTCTGAGATAAAGAAGAGAGCAATGATGAGATAAGAGGAGGAGGAGGAGAAGGATTTAGTAGTATCATCGAGAAAATGTTCTCTATTTAAAATTCGCGAGCGAGCTAACTTTCAGCGATCGTCTCGAACTCGTCCTTAAGAAAAATAAAATGACGAATAACGACGTTAAATTTGTCTTTGAGAGTCCCTGTCGAGCCCTCCGGCTTACAAGTATTCTACGTTAATGACCCACCGACTCAGTGGTTCTCAAGTAATCCTCCATTAATCTCTTAATCTAAGGGTGTTAACGATAAAAACTATAATATATTTATATATATATAAACTATATATTTAAATAATATATTTATATGCTAGAGAGAGAAAATAAAGATAGTTGATTAATAAAACTCAAAATAAAAATTGTTTCCTATTCAAGATTCGAGGATTTATTGTGTACAACCTATGTATATCAGTAAGGAAATGAACGATACGATAGGAGGATATCCTTCCTCCCCTTCTGTTTCTAAAAGAGAGAAAAATCGTAGAAAGGGAATATAAGTGGAACCGTTTAATTTTCTCGTAAAAGTGTCTTAAGTTAAGAGCACCGTTTTCCTCCCTCGTAAAAAGGGAGGCAGGCATTGCTTTGCGGGGGTGAGAAAAAATAGAAAGAGAAAGGGAAAGGGAAAGGAAAGAAAGAGTAGTCTCAAGGGCAGTCGCACGAAAAACCGTAGATTTTCTACGCTGTCACGGCTGGCAAGCACCCACGCGCCCATTAAGGTACCTACCACTCGCTCTCTATAAGATACTTAAGATGCCTCGTAAGGCACACACCGTAGTACCGAGACCCTTTTATAATTAAGACGTTATTTTACGACCGTGGCAGCGTGTCGCGAGAACGTTCCATGCCTCTCTTATAGTGTCCCGCTAACAGGATAGAAAAGGACGAAACCAAACGAGACGAGATGAGACGAGATGAGACGAGACGAGACGAAACGAGAGACAAAGGGATATGCATGGAAGGAAGAGGCTGCGTTAGAGCCTGAAAAATACGGTTATCGCTAAGATATTTTAATGGAACTTTGCATGACATATATATATATATATATATATATATATATACCTCACATACATACACTCATCTCTCTCTCTTTCTCTTCCTTTCGTCTAACTCAAACGTTTTTACCGAGTAAATTTTACCCCTCTCTTCCTTCCAACCCCCAATGCATTTGCTTCTTCTAAGCTCGATGCACTCACTCTGTCTCTCTTTTTCTCTCTCTTCCTTCACTGAAAAGAAGAATGGGGGAACGAAGAGTAACGTTTCTTTTTCACAATTTGTATCCCACATCGATCTGGGATACTACCACGAGGAGAACGACAACAGATTCATCGAAGTCGCCAAACGACACGGCAGCTTTCCAATAAAGTTAAGAATTTATCTAGATGTCGGTGGTACACCGAAAACGATAAATCGAGAATACCTTTTTCGATTTGCATTCGTATCCTTATTTCGAACTATTTGTCTCGGACCGAAGGGATTCTAGCGGACGAATTTAAATCTTCTACGTTCTACCATAGCAATCGGACTGATCCCCTAGAGGACCATCTTGGTATTACTGAGCGCAGAGAACTAGAGAGAAAAGAAATTCCTAGAGTTTACAAATCGAGAAACGATCTATACCTATCCGATAAAACGATATTTCTGTAGTTTCCTTTCGTAACGGTGAATCTTAATGGATCTTTTCCATTTCTATCAAATTTCCTATTTTCCGTCTTTAATATCTTTCTTTATCGTCAAACATTTGAGATAGTTGCATTTTCATAGAGAAATATTATCACTATCGAAATATATAAAATAAGATCTTTCGATTAGGGTGTGTATATAAAAGACAGCATAATAACATAAATATAAAGCTTATCTTTGTTACGACTTGCGGT